CGGGGTGAGTGCGCGAGTCTGCTAAGGGCGGCTGTGAGAAGTGCGCGGTCTCGGGTGGTCGGAGTTGAGAGGAGGCCACGTGGAACAGCCGAGGGAGAGATTGGGGGTACAGGCGCGAGGGAATCTGTATGTAGAGGAGGCTGGGGTGTGGTCTGTATTGGAGGCGGAGAGCGTAGCGTTAGGTGGACGGCCCACTGGATCTCCAGTGTGGGAGTTCGTGGCTCGACGGTGAGGACGAGAACCGGGGTCCGACTTTCGGTGCCTGAGGGGTGGCATTATCGGGTAGGTGGAGGGAGAGATGGAGAGCCGGAGGGAGAGAGAAAAGAAAATGCGGCTGGGTTAAAAACGAGAGAGAAGGAGGGGAATTGATAGGTTAATATTAGGGTTTTGGAAAACAAAAATTAATTAAAATAATTAATTACTAAAAAATCAAAATAATTACAAAATATTTATCTACAAATAAAAACGTACCAGTTATATTAATACAATAGCTGATACACAACAGAAGAAATAATACAACAAATTTTACAATTAAACAAGAATAATTAATAAAAAATATAATTACTTAATTTAAAAATTAAATAATTATCTACACGATAAAACGTACCAGTTGTGCTAATACGACAGATAATATGCAATAGTAAAAATAATACAACAAATTATACAAATAATACAGAATTAATAATACACGAATATTACGTAATAGTAATAATAATACAACTTATTATTTAAAATAATACATAATAGTACCGATAACACAACATATTAATTCCAAAAAATTTTACCGCATAAAATAAATTTATAAATATTAAAATTATTTAAATAAATATAAATTTTGGACTTTTAAATCATTGAAAATTCTAGAAGGCCGAGAAAAATACAATTACTGTTCTAAAAATAATAATTAAATATTTGAAAATACTAAAAATTTATTTTAATTAGTATTAAATTTTACGATCATTACATCCCACCCCCCTTAAAATAAATTCCGTCCTCGAAATTAATATAACAATGACGAAATATAAAGATAGATTAACTTCAACTCATATAAAGTTCAAAATATATTACATATCCATAAATAAGAAAAGTCATACAAGGCGATTCAAATAAGATACAAGACAAGATGACTAAGATTCAGGAAAAAGATGAGGGTATAGTTGTCGCATCTCAGACTTAATCTCCCAAGTCGACTCTCCAGGAGAATCTGGGTGCCACATCACACGAACAAGCGAAACGGTCTTGTTCCGGAGGGTCTTCTCCATTCGGTCCTAAATCGCCACTGGCTGCTTCTAGTATGTCAAATCAGATCTTACCTCAATCTCCGAGAAATCTACGATATAACTCGGATCTTCGACGTATTTTCACAACTGAGAAACGTGGAATATGTTATGCACTCCAGCCAAGACGGGTGGTAATGTAAGTCGGTACGACACTTCTCCCACTCTCTCTAATACGTCAAAAGGTCCCACATATTATGAACTCAACTTCCCACGCCTTCCAAAGTGAATGGTGCCTAGATTAGGGGAAATCTTCAAGAACACATGATCTCCTGGCTGAAACTCTAAGTGCTGACGCTTCGCATCTGCCCAATACTTGAATCTGTCCTGCGCTATGCGAAGTTGCTCCCAAATGATCCTGATTGCATCAACTGATTTATCAATCAACTCCGGTCCAAAAATCTCTCGCTCACCAACATCGTTCTAACTCAAAGGAGAGCGTCACTTCCTCCCATACAATACCGCGAAAGGGGCCATCCCAATGCTATCCTGGAAGCTATTGTTGTATGAAAACTCCACCAAATACAAGTGATCTTCCCACGACCCGTGAAAGTCAAGCATATAAGCTTTGAGCATATCCTCTAAAATCTGAATAATCCTCTTTGACTGCCCATCGGTCTGAGGATGATAAGCTGTGCTGAAACTGAGACTGGTTCTCAGACTCGCCTGCAAACTCTTCCAGAACTCTGAGGTAAATCGGGTATTGTGATCCGAAACGAAGCACACTAGAACTCCGTGCAATCGCACGATCTCCTGCAATATGAGAGATTTACTAACACTCTTGGGAAAGGAACTCATTGAAATATATAGAGATAAATATTTTACCTCCATGTATCTCTGAGCAAGATGCTCCATCGACTGTCCCACTCAGAAAAGAATGAAGTGAGCTGATTTGGTTAATCGATCTACGATCACCCAAACAGCATCATTCTGTCTAGTTTTCCGAGGTAAGCCAGTAACGAAGTCCATGGTGACATGCTGCCACTTTCATTACGGAATAAGTAATGGCTACAAAAGACCTGCGATACGCTGATGCTCTACCTTCACCTGCTAACATACAAAGCACTTAGCCATACTGCGAGCCACATCTCTCTTCATACCACGCTACCAAAAGTTTAACTTCAGATCCTTATACATCTTCGTACCTCTAGGGTGAATAGAATACCGTGAGCTGTGAGCTTCCTGTAATATCTTCTCTCGAACATCTCCTCCTGGTACGCAGATACAACTCCCAAATTGTAAGGATCCGTCCTCATAAACAACAAATTCCGGTCAAAGACCAGCCACTGCTAACTCTCTGCACTTCTGAAGAAATGAGTCACCTACTTGTGCAGCCTTGATTCGCTCGACCAGTATCAATTGAATCTGAAGATTCATCAAAGAAGCGATGACTCCTAAAAGAAGAACTTCTATACTCATATCTCTCACCTCCTGCTGAAGTCTCCACTGAGTCGTGAGGGTCATGATCACCGGCAATCGGCTCAAAGCATCTGGTACTACATTGACCTTGCCAGGGTGGTCATGAAGATCAATGTCGTAATCTGCCATCAGCTCTAACCATCAGCGTTGCCTCATGTTGAGCTCCTTATGAGTAAATATGTACTTCAAGCTCTTGTGATCAGTGAACACCTTCAATTGCTCTCCCAACAGATAATGCCTCCAAAGCTTAAGGGAAAAAATCACAGCTGCCAACTTCAAATCATGGGTAGGATAATTTTGTTCATACTTCTTTAACTGACGAGAAGCATATGCCACCACATGACCATCCTACTGAAGAACGCATCCCAATCCTCTACCTGATTCATCGCAAAACACCTCAAAGTTCCCACTCTTATCTGGTATCGTTAAGATCGGGGCCGAAATCAGTCGAGACTTTAACTCCTCAAACGCCTACTCACAAGTGTCGGACCAGACAAACTTAATATCCTTCCTCGTAAGTCGCGTCATCAGCTTCGTAATCTTCAAAAAGTATTTGATGAAGCGACGATAGTAACCAGCTAATCCCAGGAAGCTCTTAAAGTTAGTCACCGACTTAGGGGTAGGCCAATCCTTCATTGTAGATACTTTCTTTGGATCCACTGATATGCCGTCTCCTGACACTACGTGTCCCAAAAATGCTATATGATCTAGCCAGAACTGGCACTTACTATCCTTGGCAAATAGCTGATGCTCTCTCATGGTCTTCAATACGTACCACAAATGCCCTGCATGCTCCGCTTCACTCTTAGAGTACATTAATATATCATCAATAAAGACTTCCACAAACTTGTCCAGCACATCATAGAACACCAGATTCATCAGATTCATGAATGTCACTGGCGCGTTAGTCACACCAAATGGCATCACTAAGAATTCATAATGTTCATATCTCGTCCGGAACACAGTCTTGTGGATATTAGAATCCTTAACCTTCACCTAGTGATACCCGCTTTGCAAATCTAGCTTAGAAAATACTCTCGATCCTCCCAATTGATCGAAGATATCATTGATACAAGGAAGTGGATACTTATTCTTCATTATCACCACATTCAACTCCCGGTAGTCGATGCACATCCGTTTGGATCCATCCTTCTTTCCCACAAGCAACACAGGTGCTCTACAGGCCGATACACTGGGTCATATCAAGCCTCTCTACAGAAGATCATCCAACTGAGTCCGAAGCTCGGCCAACTCAGCTGGGGGCATATGATAAGGGGTCTTGGAGATCGGAGCAACTCCGGGCTTTAAATCTATGGAAAACTCAATTGCTCGATCCGGTGGCATTCCATAAATATCGTTGAGAAACACATCTTCAAATTATCGAACTACAATTGGCTTCTCGGATTCCACTTGCATTGCAGCTAACGTCGCCTTTTTCGGTCTAGCTCTGTACTCTACAGGTCCGGCCGATGTGCTACTACTGAGGAACTCAAACACATCTTCAAATACTATGCTCCGACGGTGACAATCAATGGTGGCAAAGAATGACCCCAATCATTCCATCCCAAATACTACATGAAAGCTCGACAAATCAATCACTAGAAAGTCTGCAAAGAGTTCCCTCCCACAGATGACCACAGAGCATGCTTCATAACTACTGGATGCTACTAAGACACCACTGCCAGTATTGATATTCCAGCCCGTAGTCAGAGGAGTTATAGGAAGAGAATGGGCACTCGCAAATCGACAAGACAAGAAATAATGGAAAGCTCCAGAGTCAAAGAGTGATAAAGCAGGAACGGAAGAAACAAGAACCTTTGCCTATTATAGGAGGAGGTAAATGCAACTAACTTAGTACTCATAAACAATCCTATCATGATATCATCAGGAAATGCTAAATAAAGAAGTTCATATGCAAATAAAACTAAGATGAACAATTCTTACCAGTGATAACCTAGTCGTTCGCCTCAGCTTCTACGGCTGACATCATAAACATCTGTCGCTGTGGTTGCTATCTTTGTGCTTCATGATAAACATGCTACTGTGGAGGAAGAGACCCTACTTGAGAATAGGATCTGTGCTGAGGCGCTGCTACTGGGACAGGTCAAGGTGGAGTTGGACGAGCTGCCCGAACTGGAGGTGGGGGCAAACGGGCCGGCTATTTCTGAGGATAGTCTCGACTACTATGACCGGGGGACCCACAACTGAAGCATAGATGAAGACGCCTGGGGCAATCCTGCTGAGTATGACCAGGGTAGCTACAATAAGAACACCTCACCGAAGACTGGCTCTGAGATTGCACTCCAGGACGCTGATAAGGGTGAGCCTAATGAATGGCTGATGCTTAGAATGATGTTGCCTCTGCGCGTTCTGCTGCTGCCTCTGAGGAGGACGCTCGACAATCCTAGCTGGAACTACTGGTGCCCTGCTCTGAATCACATGTGGGTCTTCAGGTTCCTTCTGCACGCTGTCAGTCTCGCATGCTACATCCAGTACTGCATTATGAGTCGCAAGTGCTCTACCAGATAGAGTAATCCTGATATACTTATGCAGACCCTTCTGAAACTGATGACTCCTAATATAAGGTCTGTAACCAGGTGAGGAGCATATCGACTCAGGGAAGAGAACTCGGCCTCATACTCATCAACTGATCGGCCTCCCTACTTGAGCTCAACAAACCTATGCAGGAGATCGTCCTGAGCCGACTGAGGAATATACTTCCTGTTGAAGTGCTCTGTGAACGTCTCCCACAGGATTGGCCTCTCAAGGTGGGTTTTCTTAGCTGTACACCATATCCGCGCGTATCGGTGAGCTGAATATCCATAAAGTCTACCCATTCAGCAGGGGCAATATAGGTCTACGTGAGAATAGTCTCAGTGACCTTCAGGAACTCCTTCGCTGCTAAGGGTCCTTCAGCACCAGAGAAGGAAGGCGGTCACATATACCAAAACTCCCTAACACTAGACTCTACGCGAGGGGGAGGCTGATGCTGAGGCTCCATGTGCAGCTGGCCAGCCAGGTGCTGCTAATTAGTAACCAATCCCTGAATCATTGTCAAAAGTTGGTTCGAATCCACTTCGGGTGGTGGGGCACTGCTACCAAATGAGTTACTATAGCCACGCATACCCATCATGGTTTTGAATAAAAACGAGGATCAAAAGGAAAACTAAGGTTAAAATCAAAATAATATATTGGGAAAATAGAAACTCAAACATAGTTATTAAGATAATAGTATAAGAACTTAATTGTAGTCTTATGGATGAAATATGATATATATCTAAATTGTCCACTATATTCTTACTAGTGAGAACTCAGGACCGTGACTTGCATGGGCCACCACTAAAACCTGTCACGCCCCACTTTCCAAAATACCCAGAAATCGGAACGTGAACAAGCCCGTGACGTATTAGATTGAGGAGAAATATACACTAATTTTTTTCTTTCCTTTTCTTTTCTTCTCAATCTAATACGCTAAGCGTCAAACACAAGAATATCAGTCACAGGTTCCCGATCACCATAGCAAGAATATAATAACAACCCAGAATAAGAAATAGACATATCATCAATGGTAAATCATCCCAGACATAAAAAATATGGATCAAACATACGATTATTACAAAAATGGTCCAACTAGGAATAAAAATACATAATCCATAATAAAAGAAAATACTGATAAAATAACTAAATCCATCATCAAACTAAAAAAAATATTGTAAAAGAGTTCTAGTGTTCATCAGCTACTACAGAAAAAGAAAACATGTCTAGGTTTCAATTTGTTCTTCCACTCTATCAGAAGGACACTCCGACTGGGCATACACCGGCTCTGCTGCATTATCGAACTGGACCTGGTCGTCCCCTAAGTCTGACCCACACTAGAGAAAATAAGTGTACGTCAGCGTGCATGACACACGACAAGATCCCACATAAAAAATAAAGCGGTCGAACGACCCATGCTATGATAGTAATAACAATAATAAGAAGACAATGGTACATACAACTAGAAATCTACTAAGTCAAAATGAAATCCTATACAAAACATGATAACATACAGCCATATACATACAGTAACCGGGTAAAATACTATCCATCCTAAAACTCATTGGTCCATATCTCACACATAGTCATCGCTCATATCATCGGATAGCTGACAGTTTACAAATCCCCTACGTGCATCTAATACCGCTACACGAATCGGTCAGAGGACTACATGCAATCCGATTTCGGCATGGTCCAAACTCAAGCAGAACTCGGATGACTACACAAATTCACTGACTAAAGTGACTACACGAATTCACTTTAGCCCAACAAATCAACCCCAGTGACTACACGAATTCACTGTCGTTAGCCTGGAAGATACATCAACAGTCACATCCGATCACATGAACAATGACTTTCCCATCCCAACTCTTCTCGTTTTCTAAGTCAACAATCATAATCCCTATTAAACTCGGGTTCACCATCTAAACTCAGCCAACACACTCACACATGTTGCTAAGTCTGTTCATGACGCACGAGGCCACTAAGTCATAAACTACTAAGGTTCTCAATCACAACAAGGAGATAGTAATAACACTAATTCTATACAATAATAACATGGCATGTCAAACATGATTACACAAGTTTACAAAGCATGAGTAATCACTACATTAAGACATGGAATGCATGAACATCCTACCATAGTATGAATGTACACATAAATAAGTTTCATGGATAACTTACTACTGGGTGTCCAAACTTCTCATGTAAGCTAACTGTAATTCCTCTAATATAAAAAAAGGGTAAAAAGAAAACTAAAAATCGATGTCGTTTTGCACATGAAATGTCGCGCTCTACGATGATCAGTTATACTATCATAAATAATAAATATTCTTTTTCCAAAATTATTCTTTAAAACTATTTTTCATTATAACTAATTTAACATTATATATATATANATATTAATTTTACCTATTTTATAAATTACCTTAAATTTATTTCTTTTTTGATAATTCTTCGTAAATTCTAATTTTAACACCTAACTTGTCATTTCATGTTATTATTCTAAAATAATTCTTTTTCCTCCAAATAAATTCTTTTAAAAAATATTATAAATTCTTTAAAATAATTTTGTTATCTAAATAAATTCTTTTAATTTATTATAACTATTCCGAAAATACTATTTATCATATATCTATAATTTAAATCAATATTATTCACCAAACAACCCGCGTAATTAATTATAATACAAACTAATCTACACATATAAATTTTGAAACGACAACAAGGAGAGGCGAGATCTTACCTCCGTACGTCGTAAGAGTCGATGTCGGCGGCCGCGGGATCGGCATTCGACGGAAGGAGCTGCGGCGAATCGGGTCGGAATCTGGGTTGGAGGTCGAGGGTGACGAAAGGCAGACGACGAGGTTCAGGTGGAGGACGGTTTGCGGTTGGGAGATGGAAGAGGAGTCGAGCGCGGGCTGTAGGCTTGACGCGGATACTGGGGTGGCTAGTGGCGTGGGGAGTAGCGGCCGACGTGGAGGTGGTTGAGGAGTTATGATGGAGTCGGTGGTGTTGAGGAGGAGGCAGCAGGTTAGGGGGTTGTGGGGTGATGGAGAAGGGTAGAGCGTGCGGGTTGGGCTAGAGGGCGGTGAGAGCGGTGGGGTCTTGAGGGTGGTCGGAGACTTGAGAGGAGGCGGTGACACGTGGGAGAGGAATGAGGTAATGCGGAGTTGAATCTGGCGGGTAGAGCGGAGGCTGGGGGGTGGTGGTCATGCTGATGGTAGGAGTGGGTTAGGTGGATGGCGGCACTGGATCTTAGTGAGGAGGTAGTCGGAGGCGAGGAGGGAACTAGGGCGAGGTGGCTGAGGGTGGTGTCGGGGAGAGATAGAGCGGAGAAGAGAGAAAAGAAAATGCGTCTGGGTTGAAAACGAGAGAGAAGGAGGGGT